GGGGGGGGGGGGGGCACGTTTGGCTAGACACAAGCACGTGCGAGTTTGCTTTCGCCTGGGTCGGAGACGGACGTACTCCACGAAGAACAGAAGGAAAGAGTTGTGCGTGCGTGTGTTCGTCCCATGTATTCTGGCGCCTGTTTGTACAGGCCTTTCGGCGTATATACCTGACGTACCAGCCGGGGTCACACAAGAGGAAGGTCACACAGGAACTTTTTTCGTTTGTTTTGCTTTGTTTTGTTTTGCCTCACCTCTCTCTCCCCATGCGGTGCTTGCCTTTGTTTTTTTTAGGCTTGATAAGATACGATACGACTAGCTTCAATATAGAGAGATGGAAACTAACAACGGAGATAACTGCGAGCAGTCCACTCCACCGTCTCCCCTCGATATCGTGAGTTTTGCTCTATCGTGCGACTCTTGCTCTCCGAAACAAGTCCAAAATAAACGATTTGATTTGTGTTGTACATCACATGCGTGAACGACTTGTTTTCGTTTATGTTTTACATGTGCAAGTGACCTTTTTTTTTTTTTTGCGTCATTTTTGGTAATGTTGTGTCGTGCCTGTGATGGGCGGTTGTTTACCACATACATGTTTTTCATGAGTTTTTTGCGGTCTTGGCTATGTGGTGTCGTGCTTGCCTGCGACAGGCGGACCTTCAGGTGGACTACGAGAAGGCCGCCGAGCGGTACCTCAAAGCGTCGGACGCGAATCACGCAGAGGTGAGAGCTTTGTGAGACGAGACGGAGAGGCGAGGGAAGAAAGACATGACGAGAGAGGACAAAACTCCGCGAGAAAACAGAGAGAGAAGCGCAAAGAGACTGCCACCTCGTCATACACTTACTTGGTATTTTTCGTTTAGTGTTCGATTTTTCATAACACGCATGTGCCCTCTCTCTATTGGGTAGGTAGCTTGTGACCCACCACGGTCGGTGTCTGACTCGGTTGGATCGGTACGGGTGTTAGACTATACGGTACTCAGTAGGGGATCGGAACGGTTTTTACTGTGAAGAAGACGACAACAACAATATAATACCAACAAAACCGTAGCATTTTGCCTCTCGTGAGCTATGTGCACTCGTGGCTAGCGCTTTTTTATATCGTGGGGTTTTGCAGTTCGTGACTCGATCGTTGTGACCGATTCACGGATTGAGGTCTTGAGCACCGTGTAATCAACCGTTTCCATCTACGTCCTCGAGCAGCAGTTCAATCTCCCGACGACATCCCGTGCTGGCTACCATGGGTAATTACCGTGGTATTTTCCAGTGGCTTGTGTAGGAGAGTCGACTTCCTCCATACCTCCAAACAATCGGTGGCAGTTGGAAGAATCTGTAGTCGTTTTCTAGCTTGTACGTCGCATCTGTTCGTTCGCGTTTTCGTGTGCGTTGCCCCTTCTCATTTAGTCGACCTTTGCCGTGACCCCTCAAGTACATATATAAACGACCTTCTCATATTTTTTCCCGTCTTGTCGTCCTTTTTATGTTTCGGTGCTTAGTCTCTATGCTGCCCATTTTTTTCGGCTCGGTGGCGTTTTTTCTACAACTTTTTTTTTCACCGCTTCTTCGTATGTAATACTTGCGATTTTTTTGCTTTTTCTCCGTGCAGGCGCTATTCGGTATGGGGTACATGCACCAGATGGGCAAGGGAGTGCCGCAGGACTTCTTCCTGGCCAAGCGTTACTTCGACCAGGCCGCGTTAGTCAGCTCGGACGCAGTGTGAGTGGGCTGCCTGTTTGAGCCGGTGCACGTTTTATCGCAACTGGCCGGCGGAACCTGTTGTTTCCGTTGTTGTTGTTGTTGTTGTTGTTGTTCAACATCCTGGTAGAATGTGCAACGGGAGGGGCGGCAGACCGTGACAACAGTAGCGAGTTACCGTAGTTGCTTTTCGGAAAAGGTGGCTGACTGCACACTTTGCATCTCGGGATGATCGAGACAGCCCCATACAGAAGATGTTCA